TGAGGTCGCATACGTCAGTGCGCTGGTGCTCTCAAGACCCAGACCCGGCTCTGCACGCGCTGCCAGCACTAGCATGCACACCAGGCCCGTGTTTGGACCCAGGCCTCTGTCCTCTCCTTCCCTGCATCCCTCCTTCCCTGCCTCCCTCCTTCCCCCTCTTTCCCAGAACAGCCCCCCGGGCGAACCAAGAAAGCGGAACAAGTGGCCGAAGAACCGGCGAGCCGCCGTGGACCGGCCCGATTGGGCCTCGTGCCCCGGAGGGGGCCAGGCGGCCAGACAAGGGGCCCAACGTGTCGAGCCGAACCCAGCGGAGAACCCACCGAGGAGGATAGAACGCCGGGGGCGAGGGCGGCGGACCACGCGGAGCGTCCACGGGGGGTCCCCGTCCAGCCGCCCGCCCGGGCCAGCGGCGGGCGTGCAGCGAGGACGGGGGAGACGCAGATCAGGGCGGCGAGCTTCTCGGGCGGCACAGCAGTGCCTCGAAGGGAGCGCGTCTGCGCCGCAGGCCGTGCCGAGTGCAGCTGGCAGGGACGGCCGCGAGCAGGTCGGTTCGGTTGCGTCGGTGTCGGTTGGAATCGATCGGTTCGGTCGGTTCGGTTGTCGCGGGGTCTCTGCGTCGTCGCGCCCTCTTCGGTTACTTCGGTTGATTTGGTTTCGCCGCGGGCGCTTCGTACCGGCCTGGGCGCTGCCCATGGATTCGCGCCGATCCGACTCTGCTTAGCCTTTGCCATTGAAGAAAAAGGAGGAGGAGGAGGAGGAGGAGGCGGAGGAGGCGGCGAAGCAGCAGCAGGAGCAGGAGCAAGGAGGGCGGAGGGTGGCCGGACGAGGGAGCCTGGGCGAGAAAAGGGCCCTTCAGGGCCGCCCTGGGACGGCCGAGAGGGCAGTGGGAACGCCCAAATCGCATTCCTGGGCGATTCAAAATTGCGTTTGGGCCCCCCAGGGGCTTGCGGCGGGCCCTCAGGACAAGGGAGGGAGGAGAGAGCAGGGAGGAATGCACAACGAGGAGGACGGAGGATGGACCCGACGTCTTCAGGCGCCGAAAGGAGCCCCGGACTTCTCGAACCCTTCGTGCGCGTGTTTGTTCCTCCAGGGCCCCAGGGTCCGGCAATGGCCTCCCGAGGCCGCCGCCACCGCCCTGCCATCGCCGTTGTCGCGCTGATGCCGCGCTGCTGCGGCCCATCATGTTTTGGACCCCCAGGAACCCGCCCGCGGGGGGCGTTCGGGACGAGCGAGCTCCGGCCGGAAAGGGGACCTCCAGGGCTGCCTGGTGACGGCCGAAAGGGCGGTGGAAAAGCCCAAATCGCATTCCTGGGCGGTTCAAAAATGCTTAGGGGCTGCCAGGGGCTTGCGGGTGGTCCTCGGGGCGAGGGGCCTGGGGGGCCTCAGGGCCGCCCAGGGACTGCCAAAAGTGCGGCTGAAATACCAGAATCGCATTCGCAGACGGTTCAAACATGTTTTGGGGGCCCCCAGGAGCCTGCGGGCGGCCTTCGGGACGACGGAGCCCTGGCGGGAAAGGGGACCTCCAGTCCTGCCAGGGGTGGTGGAAAAGCCCAAATCGCTTTCCTGAGCGGCTCGAAAATTTGTTTTGGGCTGCCAGGGCCGGGGGCCCTCAGGGCCAGGAGGCCTGGGGGGCCTCCAGGGCCAGCGACGACCGACAGGGCGGTGGAAAGGCCTGAATCGCATCCCTGGGCGGTTCAAACATGTTTTGGGGGCACCCAAGGGCCCGCGGGGGTCCCCGGCGGGAACGGAGGTCTCGAAGGCTGGCCCGGGGACGGCCGACAGGGTTTTGAAAATTCGCGAATCTAATTTCTGGGCGGTTCAAAAAAAGGTCCTTTTGGCATCCAAGGGCCCGCGGGGGTACCCGGTAGAACGGGGGTCTCCGGGGCCGTCCCCAGGCCCCCAGGGGTCTGCGGGGGGCCCTCAGGACACGGGAGGCATGAGGGCCAGGGAGGAATGAACAATGATGAAGCACGTGCGCAGTTCAGCGTCGCTTCGCTTCGGCGTGCGCAGTTCAGCGTCCCTGCGCAGTTCAGCACATGCACGCGCCGGCCCTTTATTTTTAGCGTCGCTTCGGCTTCGCGGGTTGTCGCTTCGGCTTCGGCGTCGCTTCGCATCGGTTCTGGTTTCGGCGTCGCTTCGGTTTTCGTGTTCGGTCGGTTTCGGTCGGCTTATTCGGTTATGCAGGCTCCCTTTCGCTTTCGATCGGTTTCGGTTTCGTCATCGGTTCGGTCGGCTTTCGGTTTCTCGACAATTCGTGGCCGCCCAGCTCTGCGCTGCCAGTGGGCAGCAACGCTGCCAGAGGGCGGCCGGCACCCCCTACGAAGCCCAGCGCCTCTCACATCCGGCGCTGCCACACGCGACGCCACGGGCGAGCCCGACCGTGGTTCATTCGGGGACGGGTCGGCAGCCGCTGACCTGAACGAGACCGCGTCAGGGGGCGCGTCGCTGGCGGCCTTTGCGTCGAGCAAGAGTTCCCTCCGTTCCCCATCGGTGAAGCGAGAGTAAAAAGAGCGCATGAGTTCTGCCGAAGCCCATCCGCCTTGCGCCTGGACGACCTCATCCGTCAGCCCTTTGGACACCCGCCACCAGTGCGCGCCCCTTTTCCGGAAGGAGTGGGTGCCGACGTCGCGATCCCTCAGCGCGCGGGCGAGGCTACGACGAGCCGTCTCGTAC